ATGCCCAGAATGGCACACACAGGTTCCTCTGCCATCAGGATGCTCTGGACTGGTCACACCAGGTTTAGTAGATGCTAAGCAGACAGTTGGCTTCCCAGAACAGAAACTACTCTGCTTTGGGCTTGTCCCCAACACAAAACCTTCAGATTTTATTAAATATTATAGAATCCTAGAATCATCCTGGTTGGAAGGGACCTTGAAGATCATCAAGTCCAACCATAACCTAAATCCCCCAACCATAACCTGATGAACCCATTGAGTGCTTAAATCCTGTCTCTAAGCACTTTATCTACATTTCTTTTAAACAACTCCAGGGATGGTGACTCCATCACCTCCCTGAGCAGCTGTTCCACTGTCCAACCCCTCTTTGGGCAAAGAAATTCTTTCTAACATCCAATCTAACCCTCCCCTGGTGCAGCTTCAGGCCATTTCCTCTCATCCTGTTGTTATTCACTTGGGAGCAGAGCCCAACTCCCACCTGGCTACCACCCTCCTTCCAGGAGCTGCAGAGGGCAATGAGGTCTCCCCTCAGCCTCCTCTTCTCCAGACTAAACCCCCCCAGCTCCCCCAGCCTCTCCTCACAGGACTTGCTCTCCAGCCCCTTCCCCAGCTCGGTGTCTCCTCTGGACCTGCCCCAGCCCCTCCATGTCCTTCCTGCAGGGAGGGGCCCAGAGCTGCCCCCAGTGCTGGAGCTGCAGCCCCACCAGGGCCAGGACAGGGCACCAGCACCTCCCTGCTCCTGCTGGACACACCATTCCTGACCCAGGGATGGGGTGGGTGTCCTTGCCCACCCGGGCAAACCATGGCTTGTGTTATTGATTAAAGAAAATCCAAAGCAGCCCAAGCAGTGCTTGGATGGTGCAGCTCAACTCCTAGAGGTAAATAAACACAGAGAAGATGCAAATGTGAAAGCAATCATGGCAAGGGGACTCAGAAGCAGCTTGAGATACACAGCGTGTAGAACCTGGGAGCTCTGAGTTAGGGAAGATGTGACTCACCAGCTGCTTCAAGCAGGGAACATGCTGGTGAGTCTCAAAAAATCTGCCAGGCTCCTTAGCAAGTGACATTTTGTCCAGATCTCTCTTCTTATGTGCAAAATACTCATGATGCAAGATCATGGCTTTACCACTGAACCCTTCAGCCCTGGATACACTCACTTAAAACTGATTTGCTTAGTAAATAACTGATAAATTGAATCGAGGGCTGAGAAAATGGGAAGGAAAAGCGTGTAGAGCAGCTGGAACTCAGCCCATCTGCCCACAACTTTGAGGAGTGTGGAGAACTGGCCTCCAAAGGAGTATGTCTCTCACTGTAACAGAGAGGAGTTTATCAATTGGAAGCAAAGCTGGCCCTAAGCCAGGGATGGACCCACCAAAATAATTCAGAAGGCTGTCCTGAATATATAACTTGGTGTTCAGAAAATCCTGATAAACAAACAGGGTGTTTGTGCCCCCAGATGAGGCAGCTTCGACCCCAAACCGGGTTCGGACCGTGACAGGGAGATGCTCCCAAATCCAACATCCAAGTGGAGACATGCCAGGAAAGGTGAGCTGCTGTACAACTTAATTTAACAGTCTTTTTCTTGATTTGGCTTTGGGGGTAAAAATTCTTGTGCATGAATTGACAATAGTGTCATTCTTCACATTAACGTGTCACACACGGACGTTAGGATCCAATTTTCATCCGCTCCCTGTTCTTGACTTAATTACATAGATACATTCAAGTCACCAAATCCCTCTCCAGAGGCTAGAGACCATCAGTGAGCTGTCCCTTACAGTGGGATTTACCAGCCTTTCTTCTAACTCTCAGCATGGGCTGAGTATCCTGACTGGAAAGCTGACCAAGTCCCTCATTTTCACAAGTACACAGACCACCTTCGACAGTAAAATCCTCCCCACTTTGACATTCAAATTAAATCAGGCAGCTCACATGAAAGAACCACTAAATACAAAAATATGCAGATAAACTCCTAGGTTATGAATTCCCCTTCTGCAAGGATACCATTTATTTCTCAGGGACACACAACTGATCTCTAATTCTGAATTACACCAGAGCTCTGCTGGGTATCAGGAGTCACAAAACCTAAAGGAGTTATTTCCTTCAGACCAATCCCAATCTCATTTGTTTTTGTTCTTTCACAGAGATGCTGTAATGGTTCAAAATGAGAAAACACACTGACTATTAAAAAAAAACAACCCAAACAAACCAGAGCTTTTTATTAATTTGGCTCAACCAAAAACATCTCATCAAGCATCTGCATCTTGCTCAATGAATCTGACTTAGGCTCCTTTTGTTCATGCCACTTAGCTTTAAATGAATCTTAATTTCTTCCTCTTGTGTAATACCAGGGACCCAAAGGAACACATTAAATCTTCTATTACTGCCTGCTGGCAAAGAAGCAGCAAAGGAGACTCATTTTACAAGAACAGCCCATTTTACACATCCTGTTGGAACAGAAGTTCTAAAACTTGCTTAATTCTTTGCACAGAAGGTTAAGAAAGGCAAGAAAGGTAAATCCAAATGTTTACCCCACACCTTCATGTATTAACATCCTCCATCTATTTTAGCCCAGATCAGGACTAAAACAAAACTATTTGTGATGCATTTGTATATTTCAAGACCAAAATGGGATACTGAAGGAGAAATATTTTCCTGATCCCTATTTTTTAAGGAAATACAGTATCTAATTTCCCTTGTATTCTTTTTCCTCATTTGGTGACTCATTCTGGGCATACACTTGTGAATGAGTGACACTGGGTATGGATCAAGGAATGGGGACCTGGAGGTTAATAAAAATAATAGAATCATGGAATGGTTTGGGTTGGAAGGGACCCTCAAGATCATCCAGTCCCACCCCCTGCATGGGCAGGGACACCTCCCACCAGCCCAGGCTGCTCCAAGCCCCATCCAACCTGCCCTTCAACACTGCCAGGGATGGGGCAGCCACAGCTTCCCTGGGCAACCTGGGCCAGGCTCTCACCACCCTCACACTCCACAATTCCCTCCTCATGTCTCACCTCAATCTCCCCTCCTCCAGTTTTCATCCATTCCCCCTTGTCCTCTCCCTCCCTGCCCGTGTCCCAAGCCCCTCCCCAGCTTTCCTGGAGCCCCTTCAGGCCCTGGAAGGTGCTCTAAGGTCTCCCTGGAGCCTTCTCTTCTCCAGGCTGAACACCCCAACTCTCCCAGCCTGGCTCCAGAGCAGAGCTACTCCAGCCCTTGGATCATCTCTGTGGCCTCCTCTGGACTCTCTCCAACAGCTCCAATAGTCATCTACAAGTGTTCCTCTGAAGTCCTACCACTCACTGCTATTCTATGGTGCTAGAGACAAAATCAGGGCTCAGTCACACTTTGTCACACTGCACTTGATCAAGAGACCTCTTTTCACCCCTGTGTTCTTTCATCACAGCATCTCACCCCTTCCTTTATCTATACAGTTTAGCAAATGCTGCAGCATCCCCAGCACTGTGAAAAGTTCCTGACCTGGTGCATTTGGGACTCCATGCTATTTAAAAATATTTCTAGCAAGTCTCCAACACCAAAGGGATGGATATTTGGTGCTGAAAACCACAGCCAAACTTGCCAAAAACTATTTACACAGGAAAGCACAATTTCCATTGACAAATTTCCATAAAGCATCCTTAGATGCTTTAACTCTCCTCATTCTCCTGCAATGTGAATGGCTGCCACACTAGATATGTCAGGTCAACATACACCCCACTCTCATTGAAATAAAAAACTAGGTTGTCAAGAGTCAATGCAGAACTGACAGGACCACTCTGGAGTTCTGCAGTTCTTTCAAGATTACAATTGCTGGCAATTTGTTACCAACAAAAAAAGGATATTTGTCTGTATCTAATAATATTAAATGTGGTATTTTTGGGGGAAAAAAACCAACCCAGTGTATGTGTGTGATTTATGCCCAGTTGACAAGAAAATCCCATTAGTGTAAAAACTCCCCCAGACAAGTCATGGTTTTGTGGAAGGAAAATCTGCTCCTTGCTGTGAACAAGTGGCCCTCAAAAGCTGCTCTACAAGTCATGTCATGCAAAATAAAGAATCAACATTTCCTTTAGCATAATTCTGCTATTGGTGACACTTCACCACTGGTGACTAAACACAGCCTGAAGACCATGCTCTTCATCTGACACTTCATTTCTCCTGAACCTCACACAGCAATTCTACCTAGACATTCAGAACTGGCACAGCTTTCTGTGCTTTAGAATTGGTTCCACAACAATCTGAAGTTATTTTCCATGAGGTGATGTTGTTCTCGTTTCTATGTTGTAGCCATATAGTCTACAACACCCTAAAAACCTGTTTGGGGTGACAAGATCCTTCATAGATCCACCTGTGACCAACAGCCACCCAGAAAGGCAAACAGGCTTCTCAGTGTTTCTGTATTGTTCCTGCAGGCATCACGTGCCATTTATATCCCCCATAAATTCTGTCTTCTAGGCATAAGCCAGACTCTGCTGACTTTTGTCTTCTCAGTGCTAACCAATATTCACAGCACTCAGAGCTGTTCAGGAAGAACCCAAGGGGATATATGACATCAGTCAGTGGAGCTGTACAGCTGTAGCCTCCAACACAAAGTCAGGTGGTAACAGGTTAAACGCAAAAACCCTACTGGGGAAAGTGGTTACACCACATGGGAACCAGTAGGAAGGCTGACAAAGAGCATTCACATCATATTACACACGAAGAGCAGTAACACTAACACACGACCCTAGTGAAGTGACACATCCTCTTGTAGCAGTTTTGATGTCAATTCACTGGTAGCAGCTCAGGAGCCACGAAAACCTTGAGCTCAGGAACCTGCCCAAGGCGACAACAGCAACGCGGCGCGGGATGGGAGCCTCCTCCTCGTGATGCTTTGCTCTGCCTTCTCATAAATAGAATTTAAACATCCTTCCATTTCACGTATCAGAGGTGGCTGGTTGAGAAAACAATGAACTCCCAAGGCAGGAGGTAACTTACATTCCTCTTCCTTGGGATCCAGCTGCGTGACGCTGACCGACAGCCGATCTACGCGCTCCTGGAGGGAGTTGACTCGGAAGGAGAAGCTGTGTGCTTCATTGAACAGCTCACCAAAGATATCTTCAGCATATTTACCTAAAATACAGGAGGAAAAAATGAAAAACTCAAGCCTACCACAAAAGCCAGAGGAGTTTGCCTTGAAAAGATTCGTAACTATTTTGTTGAAGTAAATGTAAGAGGCACCTGAAACAGCCCAGACTGCCCGAGCTCATCACAGGTGCTTCAGAAAAGTCAGTCACACTTAAATATTCAATTTGTCATTTATTTATCATAAATGAGATTATTTAAATACGTTACAGAATGGATATTCAGCTGGTATAAATTAATTTAACTATGCTGGTATGCAAGGAACTAGACTGTTAAGTTTCTTGGCTATGTATAGAAGGGGATTCTGACCCTGTACTTGGCTCTCATGAGACCCCACCTGGAGCACTGTGACCAGCTCTGGAGCCCCCAGCACAGGAGGGACATGGGGCTGGTGGAGAGAGTCCAGAGGAGGCCACAGAGATGATCCTTGGGCTGGAGCAGCTCTGCTCTGGAGACAGGCTGGGAGAGTTGGGGGGTTCAGCCTGGAGAAGAGAAGGCTCCAGGGAGACCTTAGAGCAGCTTCCAGTGCCTGAAGGGGCTCCAGGAAAGCTGGGGAGGGGCTTGGGACAAGGGCAGGGAGGGAGAGGACAAGGGGGAATGGATGAAAACTGGAGGAGGGGAGATTGCGGTGAGACATGAGGAGGAAATTGTGGAGTGTGAGGGTGGTGAGAGCCTGGCCCAGGTTGCCCAGGGAAGCTGTGGCTGCCCCATCCCTGGCAGTGTTGAAGGGCAGGCTGGATGGGGCTTGGAGCAACCTGGGCTGGTGGGAGGTGTCCCTGCCCATGCAGGGGGTGGGACTGGGTGGTCTTGAATGTCCTTTCCAACCCAAACCATTCTGTGATTCTATGAAATACTCCTTTAAAGACATGAGGACCAAACAAGCCTGCCAGGCAGTCTGTGGAGCCAACTGGTAATGTAGGTATAGAGGAGCACTCAGAGAAGACAAGACCACTCTGGACAAGCTATTTAACAGCTTCCACTGGTGTCCAGTGAAAGGAACTGGAAAGACTCTCATGCCAGAATTCGTTTTTGTGGGAGGTTCAAAGAAACTAAAGGGTTTAAATAAAAATTAAAAAAACTAAGTCAACAAAATGACCACTAAAATATCAGCAACAATTTGTAAACCTCCTTGAATGAAAGATGTGAAGTACAACAATAAGATTCAAGAATTTTTTCCTGGAACAACTTGAGAGCTACAGGCCTGTCAGAGTAATGTCCAGACAGATTAGTATAAATCATTATGAAGAACTGAATTAGCAGAGACAGGGATGACTTGTTTAAGAAGAGACAACACAGCTCTTGTAAAGTGAAATCTCTGAAGGGTTTAGAAGCACACAGAAGGAGAGCTGGGGTGAAGATGGATTTCCAAGAGAGTTTTGAAAGTCCTTAATCAAAGGTTTTTAGGAAAACTGTGCAGATAGGACATAAAAAAGAAACAACATGGCATGGATAAATAATTCCTCAAAAGGTACAAAACCAGCAGTGTGCCCAGGTGGTCAAGAAGGCCAATGGCATCCTGGCTTGGATCAGGAATAGTGTGGCCAGCAGGACCAAGGAGGTGATGGTGCCCCTGTACTGGCAGTGGTGGGGCTGCACCTTGAGCCCTGTGTCCAGTTTTGGGCACCTCAATACAAGAAAGACATGGAGGGGCTGGAGTGTGTCCAGAGAAGGGCAACGAAGCTGGGGAGGGGTCTTGAGAACAAGAGAGAGGCTGAGGGAGCTGGGGCTGTTGATCCTGGAGAAGAGGAGGCTGAGGGGAGACCTCATCACCCTCTGCAGCTGAGAGGAGGGTGTAAGGAGGTGGGTGCTGGTCTCTTCTCACAAGTAACTGGTGCCAGGACAAGAGGGAATGGCCTCAAGCTGCACCAGGAGAGGTTCAGACTGGACATTAGGAAGGACTTTTTCAGTGAAAGTGTTGGCAGGCACTGGAATGGGCTGCCCAGGGAGGTGGAGGTGTTACCATCCCTGGGTATGTTGAAAAGTCCTCTAGATGTGGTGCTGGGGGACACGGCTCAGGGCTGGGCTTGGGACAGTGGGGTTAATGGTTGGACAAGGTGGTCTTGAAGGTCTTTTCCAACCTCAGTGATTCTGTGATTCTGTGAAACAGAGGATAGGAGTAAATCCTGCAGAGCTGAGAAAGGTGAGTTGTCAGGTTTCTGCACTGGGACCTGTGCTATTCAAAGTATCTGTAAACAACCCAAAAAAAGTGATATTAGAGTTTGCCAAAAATATCAAGTGTTGGAAAAGAAACACACTGAGCAGTAATAAACACCCAGGAACTCCAGGTGGCTGAAGAGGCTTCCATGCCAGAAAGACATGGAGGCTTGGAGATGAGCAGGAGGATGGGACATGCTTGTCCTGCTCTTATTCTTGGGGCATCTCTTGCAGCCACAGTGAGAAGCAGATCAGAGGCACAGCCACCCTCAGACCCTTGGTCTTTAATTACCAGCCCACAGTAAAACAGAGATGGGACATCAGTAAAGTCTACTTAGCTGGTAACTCACCTAACCTAAGACTTTAAAATACATGTCTTGAAACTCTGAAAAGCTGATGTTCTTTAACCTGCATCTGAAGCAAGAGGAATTACTGAACAATGTGATCCACTAAGAGCAAGATTGCTAAACTCCTACTGTAGGTTTACTACAAATTCAATGTGGTGCAGATAATCTATTCAGATGCATTACTCAGTTTTCTTAGACAACTCACATGACATTCAGATATGCAAATTAAAATAAGGTGTAAAATTTCATGTATGTGATATAAAAAGTAAACTGCAGGGCTCTACAAACCAACAACTTCCCTTTCACATGTGCATTTTGAGGCTACTGTTTGTTTGATCTGTATCATTTCATCACCCATTGAACCCATCTACCTCATTAATGAGCTCCAATTGCAAAACAATCTGCCTTAAACCCACCCTCACTGTGTTGCACACAGCCACAAACACTGCACAGGGTCATTTGCCCAAGCTTATCAGCACTAATCCTCAAATGGGAACTAGATGAAAACCAACCTATGGTGTTTGAAGTGGTGTGCCAACCACCTGGGCTCTACCCACTGATCTGGTGGTAGGTTCTTTCTTTAGCCTGAGGTATATTGAACTCAGTGCTTCTTCAAGCAAAGCAAAAGGTTTGCTTTTAGTGAACTGGGCAACTTCCCTTCAAGAGAACACCATGTGTGACCATGCAGGGGTACTCAGCATTGATTATCCACTTTATGTTGCTTGCTCTGTGCTTATTCCAGATGACTAGATCTTCCATTTGGAATGGGTTACAGAAGATACAAGTGAGAACACTGAATAAAGTAGCATGAAAACTCCAATTAAAAAAAAAAACAAACTTGTGAGAAAAAATGACATTAGAAAACAAAGCTGAGGTCATTCCACTTAATGTGTAGGTGGTGGGTGAGAAGAGTAAGGAACCAAAATTAATTCACAGACTCACAGAATGGTTTGGGTTGGAAGGGACCTCCAAGACCCTCCAGTTCCAACCACCTGCATGGGCGGGGACACCTCCCACCAGCCCCGGTTGCTCCAAGCCCCATCCACCCTGCCCTTCAACACTGCCAGGGATGGGGCAGCCACAGCTTCCCTGGGCAACCTGGGCCAGGCTCTCACCACCCTCACACTCCCCCATTCCCTCCTCATGTCTCACCTCAATCTCCCCTCCTCCAGTTTCCATCCATTCCCCCTTGTCCTCTCCCTCCCTGCCCTTGTCCCAAGCCCCTCCCCAGCTTTCCTGGAGCCCCTTCAGGCCCTGGAAGGTGCTCTAAGGTCTCCCTGGAGCCTTCTCTTCTCCAGGCTGAACCCCCCAACTCTCCCAGCCTGGCTCCAGAGCAGAGCTGCTCCAGCCCAAGGATCATCTCTGTGGCCTCCTCTGGACTCTCTCCAGGAGCTCCATGTCCTTGTGCTGAGGGCTCCAGAGCTGGTCACAGTTCTCCAGGTGGAGTACTATTTATTCCAGAGTATTAATGACACTTGAGAAGATGCCCATCATGATGGGACTGCTTGGTGACAAACAATACTCTTGCTCCATGCAAGAACAAGAGCAGTAAAGAGAATGACAGAAGAGAGAGAGAATTAAAAGCCTTAGGATTTTGGTCACAGCTGGATACATAACACCCAATGAGAAAGATGGTTTTGTCTGTTAAATTAAATTACAACATGGACTTCTGCAAATAAATTATTTCAACAACTGGGAAGGGTTTATTTTACTGTAGTTGCAAAACTTGCTTCATTGACCAGATATACACCAAAAATGGTCATTTTCAAAAGGCAAGACATATCCCCTCCAATATCACCTCTTGTTCTTCTCAATCCATCACACTGGCACTTATTTTTATTACGAGAGCACCAGTTTTCTTCATTTAAATAAGAGGGTGCATTATTATTTATTTGTAAATAAGGAACATATTATTCACCTTATTATTCTTCTGGCAACTTTTGCACTTGTCTCCAAGAGCTCTATTCACAATTAACCCTTCAGAGGGAGACAGGGATGCAGGAACAACAGCTCCCTCTGCTCTCAGGCAACGTCCTGTTTTGTGGCAGCCAAATAAATTGTCTTGGAAGGAACGTGTTGTCCTTCCTCCCCCTCAGGAACCTGGGTGTGTTTTGAGAGCTTCTTTTGAACAATTCTTTTCCTGACATTTAAAACAGACCTATGAGCTGAAATTAGACTAACAGCTAGAGCTACTGGCTGGAAACAGAATACAAATCATGCTGCTCACTGCTTTCCTCATTTTTTAATATGAAACCCACCAAGACATGTGTCATCCACTCCTGTTCACTACCATGGCAGTAAGTGGACAATGGCTTCTAAAATATGGAAAAGAAAAGACTGATCAGTTTTACAGTTCTCCTCTTTCACCATTTGCTCCTCTCAGTTTTGTTTTTCTCCCCATAACTTCTACTTTGGGTTTGTTTGGCTTTGTTTTTTAGCTTTTACTTGTGTAATTGATTTAATATGTTGAAACTAAATAAAATAGAT